ACACAACAAAACATTCAACGCTGCAAATAAAACCACCACGAGACGCTAGAGTGTGTTGTTTTTTTTCTTTTTCTTGTGAATCGTAGTTTAAAAAACCGCACTATATCGAACATTTCTCTTACAATAAACTGGGTTAAACATTTGTGCTATTACGTTTGTAACCAAATGGATGTTTTGGTATAAACATTGATGTTTTTGAAAAATATTACCAAACCTACTTTATACACTTAGAAAAATATAGTTTACATAAAAATGAGGACTTTCTGAAGGACTTATCGACATCTGTTAATCAAAACTTAAAAACAATAGTTACTTGGCTAACTACTAAAAAAACTAATAAAAAAAAAATGTTTAATCCTTGTCAACACTAAAATTATCAAAAAAAAGGTACTTTAACACAAAATAATGAGAAACGTAACTAATGAAATGAAAAAAAAAGAAAAATGCTGCCTGGAATGGGTCCTCGCTCAGCTATAAATGCTGGATGCTCCTATTGAAGTACCAGCGCTGATCTTCACAAAACTATATTGCGATTGCTTCAGGCCATTTTTACAATCCATCCCTTAAATTTAAACTGCATTTAAGGGGTCCTTATTTTTGTATCAACATTTAAGTGTCAACTTGAGATTAAGAGCGGGCGCATACTTTTGAATAAACTATCGCACAATAGTTACGATTGTCGATTGTTTCGCAGCCAACTCAACAGTTTAGTTACTAACTAAAAATCGAGTAGTGTACCTCTATAAGCTCAGAGGATTCAAAACGCGACTAAACTTACACTCCTAAGGAACTTTAACTACAGAATTACCCGTCTAAGGGCCTGTCTTACCACTGGCTGAGGCTCAGATAGCTTAAAAATGACGTCACTATCAAAGGGAACAAACTCAGACATTTTCATCACACATTTTGCACGTGGGATTGTTATCAATTTAAAATTCAGTGGGACAGGCCCTAAGAATGCTTTATAGACTGTTAAATACTTGTTTGCGGATAATCTATATCATGAATATCCATCTTTAATCGACGTCAAACGGTAAAACATGTGATTTACTTTAATGATCGACTGGTTTCTAGACATACTGTAGGCCACTTTCCTTGGGTGCATTCACTTTCAGTGTAATAATGACGCTGTCGCAAAAACTGATGATGCTTGTTCAGTATCCAATAACAAGTAAAGATCTTTTTTATAAAGTATACGAGTAGTTTAAGTTACTCACAGATAGACCACCTTTCTAACGGTGAAAGAATTTTAAAAATCGACCCAGTAGTTTTTGAGTTATTTCAATATAAACAAAAATACAAATTTTTCTTCCTTATAACATAGACTAGCTGTTGCTTGCGACTTCGTCCACGTGTAATTAAAAAAATTAAAGAAATATAGCCTTTGTTACTCACTGATAATGTAGCTTTTTGTTGGTGAAAGAATTTTTAAGATCTTCCCAGTAGTTTTTGTGTTATTTCATTACGTACAAAAATGCAAATATTTCCTCTTTATAATATTAGTATGGATATAAACCTTCCTTTTGAATCACTATATCTATTTAAAACTGCATCAAAAACTATGGCGTTATAAAGATCTTAGCATACCTAGGGACAGACAGCGGGAAGCGACTTTATTTTATGCAGTCATGTTATTTCTTTGGAATCAAACATCATGTCTACTATCATTTGTTTTTCTCATAATATAAGGGCTGGAATGCGTAAAATGGAGTTGCAACTGACATACCAGTTATTATCACGCGCCAGCTACTGGCGCTGTGAATGCCAGTAAAATGTTTACGAGATAGTGGCTTAGTTGCCGTGATAACGTAGCCCTATGCCTGGTGTATTGGGCTTAGGAACATTGGAGTTCACTTATCATAACATTAGTCCCATTATGGTCTAAAACAACCTTCTCTATGGAATGCACTCTAGGGAACTATCGCCTAGTACTACTTGGTATGTTTACATAAATCACAATTTTCCTCCTAGCACTAATGATTCTGAATCCGTAATTTTTCTATGAAAATTCTATTTTATTAGAGAGTTGACAAACTTTCTGCTCACCTCATTTTAATACACGTCGTGTATATAGAGCGAATCGTTAAACTTAATATTTCATGCACGACCGCCTTCAATCTAAAATACTACGATAGAAATGCCTTAGAAGAAAAAAATACTTCTTATTATTATCTATTATATTACTATTATAATAAAGAGTAAACACACACTTCTTTGTTGCCTAAGATGTCAGCATATTTTTGAATAATTCTTTTTTTCAATAAAAAGCCACTTGCGTCATGCTTTAGGCTATAAATTTTAACGCCATTGAAGTTATGGGGTAAATATTTAGGATAAAAACCCAAATTTTGGTTAGAGACCATAAGTTGCTGCCAACATCAAGGAAGCAAAGTTGTCATCGTGTCGTGTCATTTTGACATTTGTAATTGCTAATTTGACAGATGTAAACAATAAAACAAAATTTTCACAATTTCATGCGGATGAAATCTCACTAGAACAGCTAGTGTATTACATCCAAGCTTAAAATAATAGCTCCAGCATGCTGTTCTATGTTTGATACAGTTTTTTTTATTATTTTTAAGCAATAAAATAAATAAGTATAAAGCCAGTTACACACCTACAGGTTCAAGTGAATAGTTCAATTGTTCGACTAAAAGTGTGCAATTTAAACTAAAGGTGTGGAACCGATTTAAACAGTTATTTATTTTATTAAAATTTCACAGGAAATAACATACTGCAATGGTTTATTGTAGACTGTTGATCGCGTCTTTGCCTGGGAGAAAAAAAAGTAAAAAGTATAGCCTGTGTTACTAACTGATAACATAACTTTTTAATAGTGAAAGAATTTACGAAATTGTCCCAGTATTTATGAGTAATTTCAATACATACAAAAATACAAATCTTTGTTATAATATCAGTACAAACAATTATTATTCAATGGCCATGAAAATTTTGTCTCATCGCTTTCTGCGTCCAAATTGTGACGTTATTACAAATGACTTATGTTACGTTTCTTTTGTTTTCCGCCATTATCATTTCACCATTGCATAACTTACAGTCGCACTTAGAGGCATTTAGGCTTGTTTTAGTGTACATTTCTTTTAAGGACTATTCATTTCTCAGTTAAAGACAGACGTTTAATTAAAACTAAACTTGTAGAAGAATATTCAAAAAATAAGAGCATCAGTGGCACAGTGGTTTAAGCACTTGTCTTGTAATCTACAGTTCTCGGGTTCAAATCCTGCTGTACCAATGTGATTTTCGAATTTTCATATGTACATAATTTAACCGACGTTCTTACGGTGAAGGAAAACATTGTGATGCCTGCACATATCGGCGAAGAAATTTGAAGATATGTGTGAAGTCAACCAACCCGCACTTGGCCAGCGTGGTTGACTATGGCCTAGTCACCCCTTATTAGGGTAGGCTAGCTAGTGATGATGATGATTCAAATTTTAACCGAACAGTCGTCAGTTAAAATTAAACGAAATAAATCCTTTTACTGCTCTAAGGACCTTTTTTAAATTCAACACCATCGTCTTAGTGCTTATCCTTCCATAGTTTTGGGGCGAAAAGTTATTGTCCTCCACATAACTATCATCCATCATCTCAGTAACACTCCCTTCTTGATCATGTCACCATTCACGCAATCCTCTTTCCAGAACTTATGAATATTGCTTTACTTTAATTTAGAAACAAAGCTTTTAGACTCAATTCAGATAAGATCAAGTGAAACTCTAACACAGTCAATTATTTTTTTAATCGAATCAAACGAAAGGTATCGTGATTTACAATCGTAAGATGAATTCACGGATTAAATTTCAATGAAAAACTTTATGAAAATCTAATAAGTTATTGAACATGTCGTGTTTATTAAAATCATGCTAATATTATAAATGCGAAAGTTTGGATGGATCTTTCTTAGAGTTTGTAGCCTAAACGGCTGAACGGATTTCGATTTAATTTGGTATACATGTTGAAGAATATATAGGCTACTCTTGTTTTTTAATTCCACGAGAACGGAGTCCCTGGCGAAAGCTAGTTTTATTGTGAAAACAAAGGTAAAGAGTTAAGATTAAAGAAAGGATTATGTAAGAGTATTTTCTTAAGTCAGTTTACTTAGATATTCTGATAGAGATGTAAGGAACGTAGGGACGTAGGAACGTAAGGACATAGGAACGTAGGAACGTAGGAACGTATGACGTAGGGAAAAAGCACAAGTTGAGGATCAGAGAACAAAAACAAAATTGAAAATTGATTTTATTGTTAATATTATCTGTAAAAAAGTCATAATTTATGTTTATTTATCAATAATGTATTTTTAAATGGTATTTTAATTTATATCCCATGAGTTATCTTAGCCATTTTTATTATTTATACATTGTTTTTAAACAAATGTTTCGACAGTGTAAACAAAATTGTTTAAACGACAATCTGTTATTGAGAATTAAGTTATAGTTGATTTATTGTAACTGCATTTAACCGTGACAGCATTTGCCATTCTAAAAGTAGATTTATTGCTTTCCGTTAAGTTTGTTTATTGAATAGCAATTTAAAACTTTTCTTAAAGTTTTTAGAACTTGATAAATAAAAGTACTTTTATTGACAGTATTAAAAACTAAACTTTAATCGTTTAAAATTCCTTATTTTTTTATTTATTAACAGCCAGTAATAAATACAATTAATTAATTAAAACTGGCAACGTATTTGGGGTTAAAAAATAAAAATTCTATTTTTAAAATAAGAAATTAGTCGGACATTCCCTCTACTCCACTGAGTGCGTACGTTAATAAACCAAAAGTCGAGAATAAAAACATAAACGAAAATAAGCTTTAAATCATTACAAGAGAGGATAATTTGGCGTACACACGTTAAACTTTTTGCAATCAGCCTTCTATGAAAATATAATGGACCAAGAGTACACAGTACTAATCATCCAACTATGTGAGACATATAAAAGCAGACCGATTCACTCGCCTTATCAAATTGTAGCCGTCTTCGTTTCCACACAGACGCGAGTGTTGTTATAAAAAAATGTATATCACAATATTATTATCTACGTTAATCTTAACTACATTAGCGTTACCCAATCCCGAAGTTAGAGATTCACAAAATAACATAGAACCAGAATCTTCAGCAAGAGTTTTAGGAAAAGATTGTTCAGGAGGGATTTTCAGTCCTACTTGTTTGAAGATCGAAGCTATATCGATGCTGGAGAAATTGAGTTCAAAGGAGGAATTACAACTTCTACCTGGTGTTAGTGTTGTTAAGGAGGAAAAAGAAAATGGTAGCAAAGCTGAAGAATTCGCTGCAGAATTGGCAAGATCCTTACCATCGAAGCCTGATGAGAGATTGGATAAATATCTTTTGTACAGACTCGGCAATTATTTGGACACACACTCTGTGAAGTTGAGGCTTTTAGATGATGGCGCGTCTGAAGATGCTAGGGCTTTAATGGGTGAGGGCAGGGGTAAAGGTGGACTTGGAGGTGGCAAGAAAGGAGGTATGGGTGGATTGTTAGCTGCTGCTCTTATGATGAAAGGTGAGTAGAGTGCAGTTAAAAATAATACATTATCTTACAATTTCTTAAAACATACAACTTAGCCTGGAGGAACACACAGGCTACTTATTACGATTTATTTAATTAATTTCGCCCTGATGTAGTTGTGGGCAAAAGCTAGAGTGGTTTAAAATCGATTTATTAAAGAAACGATTTTAAATCTTGTTTTGTCAAATATTAGTAGTAAATACATCGGGTAAATTGTAGATTTTATGGAGAAATTTTAAATTATTACCGAACTAGGTGTTGCTTGCGACTTCGTCCACTTGGAAGTAAAATAAGCATAGCTTATGTTAGTCATAGATAAATTAGCTTTTATAAAATCTGTCCAGTAGTAGTAGCTTTTAAATGAATCAAATACATACAAAAATACAAATCTTTCCACTTTAAAGTGTTAGTATAGATTTGACCTTTTTCATAAATTAATTTTCGAATTTACCAAAACTAATATACTTATTTACAGTGTTCAGGGGTTAACATCTAATTTTCAGACATAGATATACTGCATTTAAATTATAACTAGAGAATAAAATAACATTGTTTCATTGTATTGGTATTTAGCAGAACTATATGCTAATATTTATTTGTTTTAACAATCGAAAGTCATTCTTTAACAGAAACAAAGAATAATATATAAAAAGCAATCTAACTCTACCTAATAAAGTCGGAATCAGAGCATTAAAATTATAGAGAAAAATGACGAGTCTGTTAGTGTCCCCACGGACGACATTGACTGTTTCACCGCAAAACGACAATTTCTGTATTAACTTTTACATTTAACGATAACTGTGGTAATGTGAACATTACTATAGAGGTTTTTTTCTTGTATGTAACTGGCCAGTTTCCATTAAAAAGAAATAGAAAAAAATTTCTATCTATTCGTTGTTCTGTAACCGGGTAAAATAGGGTCTAACGTAAAGCCCGAACTCTATATTTACCGGTTAAAATATTTACCGGTAAATCTTTACATTTACCGGTAATTTCTTATATTTACCGGTAAATCCAGATCAGTAACAAACAGGAATAGCAGTATTTCAAGCAAGTCCAATATGTTTCCTATCCCCTTAATTCCTGGTTTACATCTGGCCAATAATGGACAGTAGCTGAACACTGGTATGCATTGTATAATCTTACTGGCGCCAGTTACTGTTTACTTTATTCCAGTTGTATGCCAACGCTGATGAGCGTCTATTTTCCTGGCTGTAACCAAGGAATTAATCTCATAGAAATAACTCAAAAACTACTGGGCCGTTCATAAAAAAATATTTCACCGTAGGGAGGTAATTTATCTGTAAGTAACGTAGGCTATATTTTTTAATTTCACGCGAGCGAATTAATTTAAAATTTAATAATCTTTTACAGGTACTCTCATGTCAATAGGCCTCGGAGGTCTCGCTATGTTGGCGGGGAAGGCTTTAATGACAGCATTAATGTCACTCTTACTGTCCGCAATTATTGGCTTGAAGTCATTGACCAGCGGTGGCAAGTCAACCACGTATGAAATTGTATCTAAGCCTGTATACAGTCATTCCCATTCTCACTCTACCGCACATGAAGACGTCGGTGGATACGGTCATTCTGGATATGGGAGGAATTTAAAAGTAAGAAGGCGTTAATGGAATAGAGTCGCTTGTATTTTAATATTCAAACTTTATGGTTGCTTGAGGTTAGATGCGAGCTTATGACTAAAGGAACTACGAGCTAATCACTACACAAATGCTATTAAAACAGTAAACATTTTTGTTTTCTCTATGTTTTCTAAAACAAAGAGAGAGATGGCAATATTGTCTTAATACTGCTATGACGATAGTAGATACTCACCGATTGTGCTCAAGCGATTCCTGTAATTGCGAGCAGTCATAAAGTTTGAATAACACTATACTGAACAACAAATGAATAGAGACGGTTAATGCTGTGAATTATTTATTTTATTTATTCTTAGTGTTATCGAAATGTATTTACGATTTCATTTTAATTGATTTATTTATTTTTATATTCGAATGGGTACAAATACGAACAGTTATTGCATTTTAAATTAGTTTAAGAACAAAATGTATTTATTGAAATGAGTTATGTGAGCTTTAAGGGTTGTCACTTTTTTGTTTTTGTTTATATATTTTTCTTTTTATGTATATTTGTACAATGTTTTATTTGTTATTTAACAAATATAATATATGTGTTTTATTCCTATTTATAGTAAATATATTCATTATGTATTGTATTTAATAATGATAAATGTTATATATGTTCATTTTCTTGCCTTGATTTAATTTTGTTTTTTTTTTTGTTATGTCTTTTAAGTTTGTTATATACCTATCCATGTATGTATTTCTATCCCAATTCTATCTTTAATATAATATTATATAATACGTACATAATATGATATATTTTTAGTGATTTAAATTTATGTATTTATTGTATTTTATCTGTACTATGTATCTAGTTTATTGCGCCATATATAACTATTTATATTTCACTCTAGTTATATGTATAAAATCATAAATTGTATTATTTGTTTATATATTATTACCTTTTTAAGTATATTATGTGATATTTTTGTTTAAATTTTATGTTTTGTTTGCACCAAATATAACATTGTAAAAAGTATTAAAAATTATTTTAGACCTTTCCTAAGATCCCCTATTCAAATGGATTCTGCCTACGACTTTGTCTGAAAGCAGGGATGGACTAATCAAGTAGCCTATGTGTTTTTCCAGACTTTTACGTCTGAAAGTCTCTAGATACAAATATAATGTTCGTAAGATACGGGTTTCTTACCACGATTGAATTGTTTTAGCTCCCGATATTTTGGCACAGTTGCA